AACAATATAAATCTCTAATTCTTCATAAAATTAAAAGACAACTCATTAATTACAACTATTTTTGCTAGTGCTTGTTTACATTCATCATAATTATAACATATTACCTTAAGAGTTTCCACATTTCAATCCCTTGATCTGTTCTTTTTTTAGGCTTTAATACGAAAACTTTTTGTATGCTTTTAAATGACTCCACATATTATTGTGCTACTAAGAATAGTATGACATGCATAATGTTTTCCACAATAATTATATTAAACTTTAGAAATTTTAGGATCACCATCAAATTTTGTAGAGTGATCTCAAATTTATGATTTTTTTCTATTATCAATTCCCCCCCCCTTAATGTAAGGGCTTGTAATGATTGATGTTGGTTTAGTGTTTGAAGTTTGGATATTGGTTGATGTTAGGGCAATATTGATGGATGGAGCATTTTTTTATTCTAAAGGTTTTCCATTTATAATTAACAATTGAAAACATGTTAATAACATTTGTTTATTAACATAACATAAAGTCAATAAAGTCATTAACTTGATTTCATCTTGCAAGCCAATCAATTCAATTCACAATTCTCATGATAATTTCTCATCAAAAGATACAATTTGATAACCTAGATAGAGCAAGAAGTATAAATTGACAAGATATTCTAGTTATGTCATGAATTAAAAACTAAAAGAAAAAAGTCAGCACAATATTAGATTGACTACTAGGCATAAAGGAAAATCAATCATACAACCACTCACAATTCAATTCAACATTGAAATACCCATCATATTACATGATTGACACAAATCTAATTTTTCAGAGTTTTCTCATTAAAACATCTTGAAAATGATAGAAAGGTTTTTTTTCCCTTATAAAATTTAAATTGAAAGGAAAAGCTTTTTTTATTTGTATTTAATTTTTTTGTTCTTTTTAGTTCCAATTTCTCAATCTAAGCTACACTATGTCAGCACGGTTCATTCTTCAACAAGTATACATCACCACATAAGAAATAAAGAGAGAGAACATATTAACATCTCATGCATTCAAAATAAATTAATAAATCTCAATAAAGTCATTAATCTCATTGATAAATAAAATTATTTGTTATTAATATGTGATTTTATAAAGTATTATTAGTTTAAAAACAATAACAACAAAAACAATGAGAAAGAAAGACCTAGATTTCTATTCTCGTGAACTTCCTTCTGCTTCTCAAGTAACCCTGAAAAATATTAGTTACTCTTTCCTTATGATTAGGCTCAATTAAGAACACCATCGATATCAAAATCTAGTTTAAAGGTAACATTGAACTTCAAAATCAATAAACTTGGTTATGAACCTAATAATGTAAAGTTTAATTCCTTAGTAAATGGGTCAAAGAAATTGTAGCAACAATTGTAGAAATTCAAAGAAAAAATATTGTCCTTTCCTCCTATCAAGAAATTAGAAATGTATATTAAAGAAATAAATAACAAAGAGAGAAATCTTACTACAAAGAAAGGTGTTTAGACTGCTATTAAGGCATGGTAGTGCTACAAAATCTACCTGAACAACAAATAATAAGAAGTTAGAAATGATGATATACACAAAAACCATAGGAAAAAAATAAAGAATGAAAACATGAATAAAAAACATAGACCAAATGCACACACTTTGTTTAGTTCTTGTCTTAATAAGCTCTCTGGTGTGACAAGATTAAAGGTTGAGTGTATGAGAGAGAGAGGCAATTGATTTACTAGATGTGGAGATGCATATTGAAAAATAAAGATGAAGATCTTAGGAGGTGTTGCTGGTTTGCTAGATCTTCTAGATGAAGATTAAAGAAAAAAGATTGAAGATTGAAGATTGAAGATGGAAGATAACGAGAGATGATGATCTGAACTCTGGGTATGACACATAAGAGCTTGGAACCTAGGAGTGTGTCTGTATAAACTATGAGTCAGGGGCGGTCATGGATTAAAGCTAGGGTTAGAAATTAATATTTTTTTTTTATAGTATTCCTATTAATTTAGTTTGGTTGGGGTTTTTTGTATTTTAAACCTATGAAATCAAAACCAAACCAAACCAAAAATTTTTAAAAATATTATAATCGTTTATTTTTTTTTACAATTTGAATTTTTTTGATTATTTATTTTTTGTTTTCTCCATTTAATTAGTTTTTTGGATTTTTTTTTCTCACCCTTGTTAAGGATATCCATAAGAAAGAAGAAATGGGTAATTTGATGATACTCATGATTTTGCAGATAGGGTGTGTGGAAGACATAGTTATAACATGTTGGTCCCAAACATGTTTAAGGCGAACTACCAAACAAAAAAAATGTGGTTCAGAATTGTGGTGTCTTCAGGTTATGAGATGCCGTGAATCTACTAACATCCCATGTCATGTTTCGAACAATTAGGCAATGGGATCTAATAATTGCCTAGGGCGACAAAATTGTGCTGGTTCAGAGAATATGCTACGTTGGTTTCTCAAAAAACCTAAAGAAATTCTCAATTTAAAGATAGTTCCAGAACACGCATCAAATCTATTAAAAACTTTTCTTTGAGTTCTTGACTCTTGTAGTAAGTATGAGCCTGGACCTGAGTTGACATCTATAGATGGGCTTATGTGTTGTAATCCTTGGGCCTTTTGACTTCATTATTTCTAATTAACCATTCTGCTTGAGCAGAAACGACATGTCATTTGAAGGATTTACGCAGCCAGCTGGTCTTCAAAATGAAAGTCCTTTTAAACATTTTCTTGCCTGGTGATTGTAGCACTCCCTTAAGCATTTTGCACAACAACTATTGAACTTTCATGGAAAATTGTAACAATTCAATGGTATGAAATTGAAAACCAGGCAACCAAGCATGGAGAAATTTTATGTTAATTCTGATGCATTATATTAACTAAATCTATTTCTTTGATCATGTCTAAAGGGACCAAAGTCACTGATGGCCATAGTTTCAGGCAAGACATAGAAGCATTCTGTCCCCCAAAACATAAAATCATTCATTCATATGGTACCTTGGCTAAGGATATGATGTAGGGTTTTTCCTGTGCTGCTCATTGAATCTGAACATTCATGCACTCACTCGTTCCTTTTTTGGGGGCCTAGTTTGTCTTCATTTCTTCTTCTTACATGAATAAAGAAGACTTGAACCAAATTATCCATAAAAAAAGGCTCACTAGCTTAACTTTTTTCTCTTGCCATACCATGTTTTGCTGTTTATTGACTATCCTTGAAACGAAAATAATCCGTGAAACAAAAGACGAATAAACATGATCATTCAGCCGAATTATTGCAAAGCATAATTCTGCCAACAGTAGAGCACACTGTCACTCGCAGCAATACCACACCGTTTCAGAGATCTATTTTCACATCTTCGCTGACAAAAAACCAGGCCTAATTTCAATTTTGCAGCGGTTGTTTACATTCCCTAATTTAGTTCCAAAATTATGTGCAGGTTAGATTAGATTTAATGTTACCTTTTCCATGTGAACGTACGATTTGTGAGAGCCAAGATTGAGATTTCCAGGTAAAAAATATCAGTCTACAGGGAAAAAAACACAGAGAAAATAAATCCTATGAACAGAATTATAAGTGCCAAGTTTGAGATTGCCAGTCAACTGTAATTTCTTGGACAGGAAGTAACATATTTTCTTTTTGGGTTTTTTGAAAAATAAATAAATAAATTACTTGTTACTCACTACTGTTGTGAAAAGGAAAGCACTATTATTAAACCCCATAGATCAACATGTCTCTAGCCTAGATTAGACTGGGTGACAAAAAAATCAATTTATCTGTTTAATTTAGAATTTGGATATAAACTAGATTAACTTTTTAAAACAAAATTCTAAACAAGATGCTTTGACTTTTTAAAAAAATTAACCTAATCAATTAAAAAAAAATCTTCCGGATGGGCTATACAAACCTGTAATACATAAGCTATGATGGTGATTTAAGAATTGGAGTCACAGCAAACAATCAAGTTTTTATTTAAAAAATAATATAAATTATATTTTATAACTTAATAACTAAAAAAAGAAGAAGAAGAAAAAGAACATCAAATCTAACCTAACTACATGAAAACCATACGCATACACCTCCCAAACAGAGAAGATGGAATGAGCAACCCAAACCAAATCCAGCCTCACGTTGGATCAGCATTTTCCCAACACAAAAACGCTCTGCATAACCTGCAAACATCCTGCACAACTTGCCGACTTGGAGCGCCTTTCATGGGCAACCATTCCAATGCATCAATAAAGCGAAGAGGACCTACGAATCAGAGCCAAAAGCCTTCGAGATCAGCACCAAATCCCCCCACAACAGCAAGCCGACACCCAGCCCAGAAAGAAACAAAAAGAAGGCTGATAAGCCACGCCAACACTGCGAGGCAAAGAGACAAACAACAGCTATCCCACCTTACCATGACAGCTCAGTTCTTGGTGGCTTTGATGGAGAAAGAGAAGAGGAGAGCGGGAAAACCGGGAGAGAGAGACAGAGCAAATCACAGAAACAGAGAAGATGAGCTTAACCCAATAGCTAGCAATCCCAAACCAAGCCCCGGCAAATGAAAAACCCAAACCAAAAAACATAATGCCCCAGGCCAAATGAAGGGACATTAACCCAAGAGGAAAAAAAAAAAAAAGCATGCTCCTAACCTAAGCCCACCAACGTAAACTGAATAGAAGTGGAAAAGGCCAGCTAAAAAGAGCCGAGCAAGAAGTAAAAAATCCAGCCAAGAAGCGCTTTGCACTGTTCCAATAAATAGAAAGTTGGCTCTTGATATACAGTGGATTCACCAATCCTTTTAGTTTTTTTTTGTTATTTAGTGAAATTTCTCAAGTGATTAAGTGAAATAACAACGCAATTTTGTGGACTATATTTAGTAATTACTCAACCCGAGCATTAAATGGATTTTATTTTAACTAGGATGTATCTTAGGGTTGTCAAAACGAGGGATCCGGATTAATTTACTGTAGAATCTCAACAATTCTGAGATATGATGAATTCCGTTGTCCAAGGAAGATCAAGCAAACATGACAAAAGATCTTGAATTTCATTAATGTATCGATATGTATACTAATATTGTAATGTATTTCAGAAGCTACAAATTGACAATTGGTGATGTCTAACATCATGATGAAGATATAAAGATGATGAACATCGGTTGCTAGCTATGGTGGCCAGTAATGCTTTCTCTATATCTTTAGCCACATTATGCTGGATCAAGATGATTGCATATTCCATGAAGGTAGCATCACATGGCAATGTGATAGGTCCATCGCTTGTTAATCCAAACTCTTCTTCTGCTAGATTGAATAGCTCTCTAACAAGTTCGTTGTTAAGGTAATTCAAGGGAAGCACAAAGCGTTTCTTATCGGTAGTGTACACAACAAAGTGACCCTTTTCTGCTGTTGATGATGTGCTGCGGTCATCTGAGTCTAGACTGCTAATGGTTTGCGGCAGAGCGAGCCTTTTTCGCCTAATGGCAGCCAGTTTCTGCCATTTTCTTGCTAATCTGACGAGCTTCTTAGCACTGATCATCTTGAGAGTGGTTAATCTAAGAAAAGTGATGTTTAGATCTTGAAATAAGGAAATGTTAATCTTGTGATGGATGGAAGGAAATGGAAGTGAGCTCATTATTTATAGACAAGGCTAGAGAAAATATAATCAACAATTTCAATAGTTCAGGCAGATATGCAAAGCAAAACCATGTGAGAGGTGGGCTATGTGGGGTTCTTTGGGACGTGGAGCTGTTTGCCAATATGGGAGCATGGAAGGTATGCATGTAAGTATGTTTTTTTTCAGTCAAACGGTTTAACATTAAAACAGGCCCAGATTCGGTCTCATGATCCTAGCTTGCATCAAACTTTGTGACCACAAAATTGAGTCTTGATCACATCCAAGATATAAACATGTGCATTGCAAGATATGAGCATGTTGGTCCCGAGTCAAGATGAACGGGCAAACAGGAGATGTGTGATTCAATCAATCCTACTTTATGGGTTCATAGACTCTGGTCCATTTATGATCGGATTGCGTTGTGGGGAGATGGATTGGCAACAAGGATCTCATATCACTTTGTTCCCCATAGCTAGAAAGCAGTCTAAAGAACCAAAGTGACTGTTGGTCAGGCATTCAGGTAAGAGAAGAAAATTTGTCCCAAAGACAAAATCATCCAGACTGTACGCTGGCCATGGATATTATGCGTCATTTGAACAATTGATTTTTTAAATTAATTTTTTTTTAATTTCAAACCGCTTCAATACTTAATTAATTATAAATTAAACTTTATCAATTGATTTTTTAAATTAATTTTTTTTTACTTTCAAACCGCTTCAATATTTAATTGATTATAAATTAAATTTTATTATTTATTTTAATTTATCTTATATAAAATTATCTTAATCTTATAATTCGAAGTTTCTATAAAATTATTTTAATCTTATAACTCGAATTTATCTCAATCTCATGATTCATATCATAAATTAAGTGGATTAACACAATTAACTTGAATTTATTTTTATTTGTTTTTTAAATTAATTTTTTTAATTTTATTATTCAACATTTTTAATATTTGATTGATTATAAATTAAGCTTTATCATTTATTTTATATGAAATTATTCTAATTTTATAACCCGAAGTTATCACAATCTCATAATTTATATAATAGGTTTTGTGGGTTAACACAATTGACTCTAATTTATTTTTATTTTTTTTAATTTTTTTTTAATTTTATCAATTAATATTTTCAATATTTGATTGATTATAAATTAAAATTTATCATTTATTTTGATTTATTTTATATAAAATTATTATAATCTCATGACCCGAGTCACATGTTTCGTGAGTTGACCTAAGTAAAATTAAATTATTTTATTATGTTTTTTTTAGATTTAATATTTTTTAAATTTCATCATTCAATAATAAGTTTATTGAAAATTGATCTTTATAATTTATTTTGATTTTTTTTATTTAGGGTTATTATAGTCTCATGATCCAAATCATGAATTTAAAATGTTAATCAAAGTTGACCCGAATTGATTTAATAAGTTGTCGTCTTAATTTTTTTAAGAAAATGTTATTTTAAATTTTTTTCAATTAAACTATATTTTCACTAGTTGTCCAGATTTGTTTTTGGATCCATTGATTTAATTAGGTCATATTGGTTTAGCTTTTATGTTTTTTTATTTATGTTTTAAATTTAAATTGTATAATTTTAAGTTAATTTATATTTAAATTAAAATTAAAATTAATATAACTCTAAAATGACATGTAAAAACGCTTGAGACCGAAACATATCTTTCCAATTGAAAAAACGGAATAACAACAGCAACGGAATTGACAATGCTTTGTTCCCCATAGCCAAAAAGCAGTCTAAATGAAGCAGATCGACTGGTGGTCGGGCATTCAGGTATTATAAGAGAGGAAGAAAATTTGTCCCAAAGGCAATAAGGCATAAAGTTATCCATACTGTACGTTGGCTATGGATATTATGTGTCATTTGAGCATTTGACAAGATTTCAAATTTCTGTATAGAACATGGGTTGCATCCTATAGGGTATCATCTATACTGCTAATCAAATTTTCTCTTGATAACCATATCTTCATTTGCCCCTTTTCATGCCTAATCATCAGTTGTTGTTTTTTTCCCGTCGCATTAATCAGTGAGATAGGATTAGCCGGTACCTATCTTCTTGCTGTGCACCATGATTTCTGTTTGTTTTTTTAATTTTTAATTAAAATAGGTATTTGGGATAATTTATGTGCATTCCAATTAATTTAACAAATTTTTAAATTAAAAATTATATAAATTTTTAATATTTCTAAAATTTATAAAAGTATTCCAATTAATTTAACAAATTTTTAAATTACGAATAACTTTATAAAAGTAAAACTAATAACTTTAAAAAAATAAATTTAAGATCTCACTAGTTAAGTTACATCTTTTATAGTTGTGTTTTTTATTTGTTAATCCAGCTACTGTAGTCAAAATAATGCAGCAAACAAAAACGATCGTCATTACTTCACAAATTATAGTCATCATCAAACCAAAAGGTCCGTGACTTTGTTCAAAACTTTCTGCATCTTAAATGGCTATAGTTGAAATTGCCTTTTATGTGTGACCATTAATTAGTATAGATTCATCAATACCAAATCATATGCAACTTTAAGAACACATTTTTGGGGTTAAAATCTCTAATTTACAATGCCAGTAACAATATTGTATACTTTTAAAAAAAGAACAATTTAGAAACGATTTGAGTCTACATAGCTAGAAATCACCTGTCACTGATGTAGCTTCTTATACAGGAAGTGACATGTTTTGGATTTAAACAGAAGCTACTGGTTTGATAAATGAGAGAAGCTAGAAATAGAATCGAAGTCTACATAAAGTAAAAGTTCAATGTCAGATACTTGGAATCATTGCCATGATTCAGACTTGAAAAGATATATTTAGTGGCTGCCTCCTTACAATTTTTGTTGAGGTACTTGATCAGGACAGGTATGGATTTTACTTTTAACTGAGATGGATCTGTGGGATACCAAAGAGTTGTTGTATGAAAAAACAGCAAAACATGACAAAAATTCTTGAATCTCGTCAATGTATCAATGTGTTTGTTAACTTTGTAATGTGTTTCAGAAGATAAAAAATTGGCGACTGTTGATTTCTAACATCTTGATGAAAACACAAAGATCATACGATGAGCGTCGACTGCTGAACATGGTCATCAGCAATGCTTTCTTTACATCTTCAGCCGCATGCTGCTGGATCAAGGTTATTGCATAATCCATGAAGATAGCATCACATGGCAATATGAGAGGTCCGTTGCTTGTTAATCCAAATTCTTCTTCTGCTAGACTGAATAGCTCTCTCTAAAAATTTCATTGTTAAGGTAATCCAAGGGGATCACAAAGCATTTTTTGTCAGTGGTGTACACAACAAAGTGACCTTTCTCTATTGTCGATGATGTGCTGCAGTAGTCTGAATCTATACTACTAATGGTTTATGGCAAGGTGATCCTTTTTTCCCCTAATAACAGCCGGTTTCCTCCATTTCCTTGCCAATTTGACGAGCTTCTTAGCACTGATCATCTTGCGGCCGATTAAACTAAGAAAAGGAGTTGTTTGGACCTCAGAATATTGAAATGCTACTGTTCTGTTGGATGGAAGGAAATGGAAGTGAGTTGATTATATGTACACACAGCCAATTCCATTACCGACACCTTCAACACAACTGGATACATGCAAAGCAAAACCATGTGAGAGTTTGGTTTTGTGGGGTTGACATGTTTGCCCATGCTGGAGCATGCAAGTATGCAAACTCGTATGTTTTCAGTCAAGTAAAAGGTCCAACTTTTGTGTCTCTTGATCTAAGCCCAAACGAAAATTGGTGATCCATAAGAATTACATTGATAAGCCTAAATGGGCATGTGAATCCATTCCTTATGGTTTGGAGAGAGTTGCAATTCTATGCTTTGAAAAATAAGGACTATTGGCCCAACATGTCCATCAATTGTCTATCAAGTAGTAGCCACAGGTTCCTACTTGACGAGAATTGTGCCTTTTGAAGAATAATTAAATACCTTGTCCAGAAATTTACAATTGATTATACATTTTTACAATAAAATCTTGCTTGATCTTATGCCTAACCTTTTATTTTTTGTTCTTGTCTTTGAGGCTCGAGGAATTTAGGCAAAGTTTCGAAGATGAGCACGTCTTACAAGCATGTTCATAATCTGATGAAGCAGATGTTGAGCAGTGCTATCTAGTGGTAATGGAATTGGTCAGAAATTTCTCAAAATCTTTGGCTTCCCCTCGTTTGATGAGTGACAAAATGAAGTCCATGTATTCAGAATCACATGGCAAAGTGATAGGCCTATCACTTGATACTCCAAACTCTTCTTCAGACATCTTGAAGAGCTCGAGAAAGATTTTGTTGCCCAGGTACGCTAATGGTATCGCAAAACGCTTCTAATGCCCCTTTTCAGCAACAAATGATGGATTGTTATCATCCACTTTCATCTTGCCAGGTGATTCTTGAATAAGAAATTCTTTTAATCCTTACTGCAGCTTTCTTCTGCCACCTCCTGGCATTTCTGATGACCTTTTTCAGACTAATCATGGTGGATTACTCATGACTCACAACTTGATAACTTCTATATGCACAAGATTACTTAAGGCCCTCCTCCCTTCCTGCATGGGATTCCTTTTCTGCGAATTCTATATAAAAAAATTATACATATGTTGGAATATTCATGAAGGATGTCAAAAAAAATATTCAAGCAGATAATCTTCCAAAATATGTAATTTGGCAGGGCCTCATCATCATGTGGGCAAAAACTAACTGAACATAGTCAAACCAGACACGATAACACGAAGGTTTTCAAGGTTTGGAATCTTGCCACTAACCATCAAGAAAACAAAAATAATTCATTAAATTTTCTCTGTGCTTATGATTATCTTTATCTATCCGCCCAAACCCCACATGCCAAAATACAAAAACCGCAACCATTCTAGAGTCCAAACAAATTTCAGAACTGAAAGATTAATGTCAAATGTTGGCGTATAATTAGTAACATATCTTCAGGAGCCATTCTTATTAGCA